AGAGGCCACCAGAACTGTCACCCCTTTGCGTCGGGAAGATGCACGTGTAGGAGGAGGAGAAGCAGGTTTGGGAGGGACTGGAAAGGCAAGATAAGTGATACCAGGGAGAGGCTCACCGGTGAGGGGATGATACGCACGAGGAGAGGGAGATAACGGGCTGTCCAGAGCCGAAGGAACAGCATCCATGGGAGCACCCTCAGGACCCTCACTAGCAGGATCAGGGGTACCGACTGAGCATGGAAAAGAGCCAGCAGGCCTATCGCTCTCCACAGCAGAAGGAGTACTGGTATCGTGATCAATGGGTGGAGCTGGAAGACAATATCAACGAGGGAATAAGGAAAAACCATAGAGAAGGAACGAAAGAACACACCGGACGGGACAGGGAATTCGAGAGAGCCAGGAATTGGCTTCCACTGGAAGGTGGTCTGGGAAACTGAGGAAAGAGGTACCAAAGGCGGCGCGCAAGACCGAGACGAGCTAGCCGCACTAAAGGAAAATGGAAGATGAAGGCAATATGGCTGAAGGCAATATAAACAACGTACGGGATAGGCTTGGCCCTCTTAGAGGCAGGGGTAGGTACAGTCTAGGAGAAGAAAGAAGGAATGAGCACAGGCAAAGAGGAATAAGGAAGATTGACTTACAGGAGCCAGAATTCCTGTCTCCCGCTGACGTTTACGAACCACTGTGGCCCTCTGCAAAGGCAAAGATGATGAGAAGGTGAAAATCCGGATACGAAAAGGAACAACCTACCGAGCCAGAACTGACAGCTGGAAGAACCACAGAGACAGTATTTTTAGTGACAGGAGGGAAACCTAGAAAAAGGAAAGGAGCTACAGTAAGAAGGAGAGAGACAGAGCGCAACTCACTAGGTTCTCGTGAAACCTGGGGGGTCCTAATAGGTGTCGGCCGGGGGACTCTACAAGTAGGGCAATAGTATGAGCTAACAGAGACACAGAAGAGCAACAAAGATCAGAACTCCCCCAGATGAGCTAGCCTCGGGTTCCACGACCTTGGGGACTAAGGCAGTAGGGCCAATGACCACTGGAGCAGGGGGGGCAGAGATAGCGCGTGAAGGGAGCAGGAGCCGGTGGGGAACGGAGGATGGATTCCCATCCTTATAACCCGGCTCTCCAGGCAGAAGAAGAGAAGCGTCGTAGTCCCACTAGCATGAGGGAAACATGAGCGAGCGAAGCAGGCTGGGAAATAAGGGGACATACCAAGGAATTCTTACGCTCCACCTCCGTAAGTGCCCAAGCTTTCCACTCCTTGCATTGGAGATGGGTAGGAATACGCTGAACGAGCTTGTCAAGCTCTAGACGGAAGGACACGCCGTAGTTGGAGTCACGCAGGTCGAAATGCATGAGGCCGGCATGATATGTGGCCTAGAAAGGCAAAGTAGGCATGAACGAGCTAATAAGTAGGAAGTAAGCACGCACCAAGTAAGGGGTCGCCCGGTTAACGGCAACGACAAGGTCCT